CGACTAAAGCTTTCCCTTTTCCTTGCCCTCCACTCTCCCCTGACATCCGTCTCCACATTCAGCCCATTTATTTCCCTGTGCACACGCAGATGCAAAGGCTTTATATAACCCTTTGCAGAGCAACTACTGGGTATTATGACACTGGCAACTGCCACAATATGTGCGGCAACGGCAACAGCAATAACAACCATAACAACAGCAATAACAACAACAACAACAGCAGCAAGAAACGTTTACAGAAGCAATTGCTCATTTTTGCACATTTTCCGCGCCATGAAAATGCACTTTTCCCCTGGCCCCTGTCAGCCCCCTTGCATAAATGAGAATTCGTTCGAGTCGTCGTCGGTTCGCCTGCTGCCCAGCCCCGTGACCACGCCTCCCCCCCCTGCCAGCCGCACAGCCAGACATTTATGGTTGGCTTTCAGTGTAGTGCAATAATTAAGCGTTGACTTGTTCAATTACCAAAATGCAATTGCTTTTAACCACGCAACGCCGAGCAGACAGACAGACAGACAGATGGACAGACAGGCGGAGAGAGAGAGAGAGAGAGACAGAGAGACAGGTAGACCGATAGAGGCGAAGGGAAGTCGCCACTCGGTCTAGCCGCGAGCTGTGGCACCGTCGAGCGCCGTGTCAGCCGCAATGAGTGTTTACTGTAGTCGTTCGCTGTCAATTTGCATGAGAAATGCCGAGAAGTTGGCATTCGTCGCCGTCTTTGGGCGAAGTTTCCTGTTGATGCCCGGGGCATTAAAAGCGTCAGCATTGCGAGCCAGAAACTTCAGTCCTAGTGCCATTTATGGGTGGCGAAGGGCATTCGGCTGCAGCTGCCACGTGGCATTCGTTTTGGGCCGCAATTGAAATGCATGAGCCAACGTGTCGTGGCGTTGGCAGCCAAAGTTGTAAGCGTGCAGCTGTTGCATGCCACATCGATTTGGTGCAAGCATCAGAATAGTAACGGTAATGGTAATGGGCATTGTTATGCTTATGCATGAGCTACGTGCCACACACAGAGAGAGAGTGAGAGAGAGAGAGAGACAGAGAGAGAGAGAGAGAGACAGAGAGAGAGAGATAGACAGTCAGTCAGTCAGTCTGGCAGTTATATCTGTGGCATCCACGTCGATTAAGCCGCAGCGCCTTGTGGCAGGCAGTTGGGCTTATTTATGCGCATAATTAGTCGATGCTCAATCTCCATATGCGACCCAATCGCAGCTCAAGGATTTGCTCGCATACAAAGTGCCGCATTAAAGCCGCATGCTTCAATTGCAACTGCCACGGCGAGTGGCACGGCGAGTGGCACAGACAAAGCACACACAACATAGAATTGCCTCATTATGTTGAATAGTACGCGGCAAATAAAAACTTGGCACTTAATACAAAGGGGGCCACGTGCTAGCCGTGGCAGTGGGCCGGCGGGGGCGGTAAGGGAGCCAGCGGGGGCGTGCCAGCACCAGTGAAATTTATGCAGCACAAAGCCGCGTGGCAAATGTGAGTAAGCCAAACGACATAAGCAGGCATAAACAGTAGTGCAACAGCAGCAGAAATACAGCGCGGCCACCACCCCCCCCCCCCCCCCCCCCCCCCCCCCCCCCCCCCCCCAGCGGGCCCCACTACGCCCAGTGGCTGCCACTGCAACCACCTCAAACACCTCTCAGCGCTGCCAATGCAGCAACCGCTGTGGGTGTAAATCTTGTTATGCAGCAAATGCGCCATAAAGCTAGCTGCTAGCAGCCAGGATCAGGATGCGTTCTCCCCAAGGCTTCTGCTTACATTTCCCTCACACACTCAGCGAGCGTGTATCTGTGTGCATCTGTGTGTGTGTGTGTGTGTGCGCGCTGTTTTTGTTGTGGTGCGCTTTTGGGAGCTGCGGCAGCTATGCTTCTTCAGTCCGTGTGCATGCGCCACTCTAATAAAATTTAATAAAAAACGTGTTGCCTCGCATAATGCATCGACAAAGCGAGCAGCCGCCGGGTTGGCCAGGGGTTGCACAAGGGGTTGCTAAAGGGGGGCTTACATGCTTTTACATTTCGCAAAAAAACATGTTGGTAAAAAATTAAGTAAAGCTTCAAATTGATTACAACATTAAATAGTTGCACTTGAGATTGCCAATAAAAAGCAGCAGCAGTCGAAAATTTCGAGCACTGCTAGAAAAACGTTGCACAATTGAAGATTTAAGCGAAAAGCAACTTTGAGCTTCAATTTATGCTAATATATTTCTAGAAAACATAAATGATATGCAGTTTATAGTTAAAATATTTCTTGAATATTATATTAGCTTTCAGAGAGTTTTAACTATGAAGTGCCTTAACTTGATTGCTTTTAGCTAAAGCTTTGGAGTTGAGCTGTTGTGGAGCTATAAATTATTTAATGAATAGAAAAAAAGTCGTCTTGTCTCTAAAGGAAGATATTAAAGAGATTTAATTATAAAACTATTTACAAGTTCCTCAACACAGGAGCAGGAGTCTTGTTCAAAGAGCTATATAGATAAATGATATGAGACTTTAATCATAAAGCAACTTTGAAATAGAGCTTTAAACCAAAGCTCAGGACCTACAGAGAACTGTCAACTTAATATGTACATACATATAAAGAAAAGTTTTGAGGTTATACAGATATGTATATGAAAGCATTAATTAAATATTAAGGGGCTTCGGCTTAAGCTTAAAAATAACTAAAACGATAAATTCTACTTAAACTAAAGTTCTGTTTTACATGCATATATAAATGTAAGCTCTCTGCGAACATTAAAGCTTCGAGGTTAAGCATTTATTATAATATAAGCTAAAATGAAACATTAGTTTTAGTTAGTTTAGTCCTTATAAAAAGAATAATATGTCTAAATTCATTTAATCAGCAAGCAAATCGAATTGACATAAATTTTGACTTTCCACTCAATGCGACTACGAATTTCTCTCAGTGCACTGTCAGTAGCTAGCGGCTAGCCGCATGGCATCTCGACACGCTGCCAGCATATCAATATGCCGGCTAATATGATAACCCACTCACTCATGCGTTTACGACTAATTTTGACAGGCGTTGCAAGTGCCACAGCAGCCAGCGAGCTGCAGCAGACGGCGGCGCCACAAACAACAGCAAACAGACAGATCGACAAATCGACAAATCGCGTAACGGAAGTCAGCGCATTAGGCATTAGCTGTCAGCTGGCGTACGTGAGCGTAGTGCAATCAGAATCAACGGCAGTTATTGGCTGGGCCCATGCCGACGCCGACGCCGCTGTCGATATTGTGGCTTGATGGGCAAGTGTGTCTCCCGGCAGAGCTCTCAAGCACATCATCAATCTGTGCTGACAATCGCCCTGTCCCAGCAAGATTTGGCCCAGGCCCACAAAATATGGCAACAGTTGACAGCGAGTAATGAATATATAGCCACAACAGAATCTGAACCAGCAGCACTAGCAGCAGCAGGAGTAGGAGCAGAAGGAGAAGTCGAGGCAATCCCAACAGATGAGCCTCCATTTTATTACCATGTGGTGAGCCGCAGCCAGGGAGAGCTGCGACTGGCGGCGGATGTGGAGGAGCCGGAGAAGCTTTCACTGAAGACAACTGCTGTGCTGCACATTGAGTCTGTCTACAGTCATTTGGATGCCCAGGCGGAATCGGATGCGAATGGCAATGTTATTGGCAGAGCGCTGACAGGCACCGCATATGCCACTTGCCAGGAATTTTTACTGCACGAACTGGCCCAGACACTCGACGAGTATCAGGCGAATGCCCCAACCTCATGCCCGCCGGATAACAGCCACGCGCCAAAGGCGCTCTGGCAGCTGCCAGATAGCGATATCCAGCACGAGCTACGCTTTCATGGGCTACATAAGGTAAGTGCTACAGTTACTTTTTACTAGCGCCCCCTACATTGCCAGCATATGGTCAGAAAATGCACGAAAAGTAGCCTGATTGATGGGCATGTATGAAAAGCTATCATAAGCCTGGGTAATAGGTAATAATAGACTTCTGCAAAGAGAGAGAGAGAGAGAGAGAGAGAGAGATCACAGGCTATGATTGACTGTGGGATGCACCTAGAGCAAATGAATGATTGAATGGTGAATACTGATTGACTAAAGAGCTTAGACGATTGACTGACTGATACTCATAACTAATTGACTGGTTGATGGACTGATGAGTGTGTGATTGAATGAGTGGCTTGACAAACCGACTAATTGAATGACCTTCCAAGCTGGTTGATTGAGTTAGTGACTAAAAATCCAGCTGTCTGACAGTATAGCTGACTGAATGATTAAATAAACTTTTATTAACAGGTAAATGATTGATTGACTGATTTCAAAATAAGCCTTTTGACTATCTGAGGAACTGTTGAACTAACTGATCGACTGACTGGCTTATTGCATCAAGCTAAGCTAATTGACTAATTGATTGATTAGCTAAATGATTGATTGCTTATTCGACTGTAAATGATTGACTAACTGACTTGGTGTAAAACTTATTAAGCAGTTCTATTAAATGCTTGAATGAGTATTGAAATAACTGCATGATTGATTGATAAAATTGTGTGATTGCCCAACGCTCTGCCTGATTGAGCAATTGATTGCTGAACACCAACTCTAACCACTAATCAATCACTGCCCCCCCTCTCACCTTTCTTCACAAAATAGCTCACCATAAGCATTTGAAAACCCGTTATCTAACACACACCCACTTACCGTATATTTCCATTCCACCCCTATGCAAACACAAACGAGCACTAGATGGCGCCAGTGTGAAAACCACCCCCAGTTGTTAGCTAGTGCAGCCACTTGTTCTTTGGCGGCACGGCGCATGCTCAGGCCACGCTCCGGTTCAGCGAGCAAGGCGTACACTCAATCGAGAAATCCGCAGGCTGCTAGAATTTTCAGCCAGCCCATTCAATTTTCCGAGTGCTGCTGTTTCGCAAGTGAAAACCTGAGAAAATTGTGAAAAAAACCAGACAAAATAATTGAAAAACTGCACAGAAAATTGGCAGAAAGAAAATAAAACTACAAACGGCATTGCATACTTTGTGGCAGTGCGAAAAAAACAAAAAACATAACGTGTGACAAGTGCCACAAATTGTGGCAGCAACGATAACAATTTCAACAGCCGAGGAAACTTTTTTCAAGGACCTTCAAAACTTGCCGTACTTGCCCGTGGGTGTACAACTGTATATGTGTGTATCTGTGTGTGAGAGAGAGAGAGAGAGCGAGCGAGAGCGACTGTGACTGTGTGTGTAGCTGTCACTGTAGTTGTGTACCTGCCTCAAGTGCAATTATAAATGGCGTAATTTGGTGCGCGGCCGTGTGATGAACATTGATTTGAGCGCAGCGCAGTTGATAGCTGAAGTTGCAAGATTCGCTTGGGTCTCCGTGGCACACATCAAAACGGCGAACGTTCGGTATTCAAGTAGCGCCAAACCGCAGCAGGAGAGACTCGCGGCATCAGCGAGTGCCGCGGCAGCCGACGTGCAACATGGATGAATGCGACAACCTCGTCGTCGTCACATTAGCCGCACACGAGGAGCCAGCAGCCGAGCCAACAGCGCAGCAACAGCTCAAGAATTTGCACAAAGAGCACTTTGACATCGATGACAACGCACTAGCAGCGACAGAGACAGAGGCAGAGCAGCAGCAGCAGCAGCAGCAGCAGCAGCAGCATCAGCAGCAAAGAGATAATTCGAGCAGAGCCACAGCAGAGGAGGACGCAGCAGTTGACGCGGAAGTCGAGGCAGTCATCATGGTAAACACTGTGCCACACGCCAGCCACACTTTGTGCTCTTGTTCAATATTGTAGTTAGCTTTGTATGAGTCATTAGATTCGCATGCACACACACTGAACCACTGTGCACCAGCCAACCGCCACCCGCCCACACGACCCCATCCTGTGCTTGTTCTATTTGCATTGTGCGGCAGGCTTTGTCTGCTGTGCTCATCTATTGACCCGTTTTTCTTGTTCTTTCACTAATCGCTTGGCTAACCTGCTTTCTCATCCGCCCACAGGGCCAAACGGAGAGCAAGAAGCACGGGGGCAAGGCTGGCCGGCGCCACAATGGCAACGGCGTTGGCCAACTGGAGCTGGGCGAGCAGCCGCCAGTGCCGCACACCAAAGGCACCGCCATGTCCTTTGGCTTTCGCAAGAAGCTCAATGGTACGCCCAAAAAGTTCAAGAAACTGCTCGAGGGCAGCAGCGGCAACAGCGGCAACAGCGGCAACAGCGGGGGCGGGGAGACGCCACAGACAGACACAAAGGACGACAATGGCAATGCAGGTGAGTAATGAGCGCACCTTGGCAAGTGTTATGGCTTTTTAATTCGAGCCAATTAGGACGTTGGCTAATACCAGGTCACATGCCAGCCACACTTAACTGCTTTTCATTTTCACCCATCGCAGCGCCTGTTCACTTTGAGAAAGTGGGCGTGGCGGCCCAAAAGACAAACGCGTCCAATCGCACAGGTGCGGCTGGCAAACGGTTTGGCTATCGCGGCGCCGTGCCACGCCCCGCCTCTGCCAGCCTCACGGCGACAACAAACACAGCCAGCGGCAGCGAGGACACCGACGAGGCAACAGCGAATGCCCAGAACAACAACTGCAACAACAGCAACAACAACAGCAATGGCAACAACAACGGCAATGGCAACAACAACGGCAACGTTCTCGTGAGCAATCGTAAGTAGAAGTCGAGGCACCGAAGCTCAAATATCCTTACCAAATATTTATGCTAAGAATGAGAAACTATGCTGATCGATGGATGAGTGCAAAGCTATCAGAAATATGGATGGAAGCTGTTAAGGGTTGGTACTTGGATAGCTGATTGATGTAATGCGTGGATTGAGTGATTGATGAAGTATGTGATTGCCTGAGTGAAGACATTGATTGCGCAGCAATTCGGTTAATGGATCGATAAACTGAGTGATTGATTGATTGAATGACTGCTTAAATGACTGACAAATTGGCTGGTCTATAGAAACTGATTGACTGGTTGACTAAATGACTGACTGATAAACTGAATGGTTAATTGATTGAATGGCTGCTTAAGTGATTGCTTGATAGATTGACTGGCCTATAGAAGCTGACTGGCTGTTTGATTCGTTGACTGACTGATAAACTGAGTAACTGAGTGATTGATTGAATGACTACTTATGTAACTACTTATAGGAGGTGATTGACTGATTGACCAATTGAGTGACTGAGTAGTTACTGAGAAGTGATTGATTGATTGAATAACTACTAAAAATATTGATTGATTGAGAGGTCTATATAGAAAGTGATGGATAGATTGTGCAAGGTATACAACTTGTGACGTTTAAGTAGATCTAAGTAAATGTGTAGAGCTGCTAGATAGAGAAAATCCATTGATGAGGCATAAACATGTATAATACAGTCACTATTAGCCCCTGCCTCTCGTCACGCACATGACGTGACTCAGCTGCTGCAACACACGTTGCGAGTGGAGGCAACTCTTTGACACATCTCTCAATGCCAACATCTCACTTCTCGCTTCTCCTGCATCCCCCATTCTTCTGCCCCCCTCTCCATGCGCCACAGTGAAACGTCGCTCCAAGAGCGCACACGCGGGCCGCTCAATCGATGGGGAGCCGAAAATAGCGCAGCCAAAGACGCTGACGTTCAATCTGAACCAGAACACAACCATCGAGTATCAGCGCCGTCAGTTCTTTGGCGAGATTCCGGATGAGGCAACCGCCGCAGCGAACGCTCGGCCGCGCTACAACTACAACAATCTGGCCAATATGCACGCCAATGTGATGTGAGTAGCTGGCTAAGCCGAATCTTTGGACTCAAGTAAAGCGCATCAATTTGGTTATTCCTCCTTGCAGCGTTCGACCCACGCCGCGAGCTGTGCCGGCCAGCTTTGCCAAGTTCACCTTGCAGACGGTCAGCCTGCCGCGGCCGGAGTATCCAGTGGCCATTAGCCTGACCGCTACCACGCCCACCACGCCCAGCAGCAGCGTGCAGAGCCCGGTGCCGGCGCACTCGACCGGCGCCCGAGCCAAGGACGTGGCCAGCTCAGCCAGGCAGCATCCGCTGACCTCCATACACGCACAGCCCAGCAGCAGCCGGCAGCTGGACCAGAAGAGCGTCAAGCAGCTGACCAACAACTCGACCCGTCGCGGCTTCTCGGGCAGCCGCGAGATCAGCGCCGACTCGGGCATCGCCAGCATGGACATGGCCGTCGACTCGGGCAGCAGCTCCGGCGGCAGTGCGTCCAGCTCGAAGCGCAGCCGCAGCCGGCCACGCAACCTGCAGATGGTGATGAGTGGCCGGCACACCTTCGAGGTGCGCGACGTGGATGATCCGCCCTCGAGTGAGTCCAACTCCTTCGTGGAGACCCTGGCGCTGCCCAAGCTGCCCACGGACAACAGTCAGGCGACGCCGTTGCCGCTGGTCGGTCTCGTGCGCTCCAACACGGTGCTCAGCCGCGAGAGCTACGAGCGCAGGCAGGCCACAACGGAGCAGGGGGCCCATGCGAGCCAAACGCCGGAGACACCGGCCAAGCCCCAGCCGAAGGCCAGTGGCTCCGATGACAGCGAGAGCGTGGACGAGGAGAAGCTCTACCTCGACTCGTCCACCTCCGAGAAGAGTGCCAAACAGCAGAGCCACAGCCAAACGTCCTCCATGTCCTGGCGCTGCCAGGCGGGCGAATCTCTGGCCGCCAAAGACTGCAGCAGCATGAGCATCACCAGCAGCGACACCCAGGCGCCGCTCAAGTCCGAGGACAAGGAGGAGGACATGTCCCTGGGCCTAGATGACCTGAGTCTCATCAACACAGAGATGCAATTCAGCACGCTGTGTAAGTAGTCCAGCTGGCCTCCTGCTCTCCTTCCTCCACTTTCCCATTCCTGATTTCGTTAAGTTCTCAACTCACGCCAAGTCTTCCACACTCCAGCTTCACTGACGGAAACGGCACCCAAGCCCAGCTGCGCAGCTGGCGGGGATCACTTGCTCAACATGCACATTGTGGACAATCGCGAGGCGATTGTGGTGCGGCTGCCCAGCGAGCGTCCACGCTCCTTTAACAATGCGCTCAACGAGTCCAAGTTCGCGGAGCTGGCGCTGGCCAGCAGCAGCTGCTTGCTGCTGGATGATGAGACCTCGCCCACGGACAGCCTGGTCAGCAGCACCGAGGAGTCGGAGGAGGCGGGCGGCAAGCTCAAGAAGCACAAGCTCAATGCCGAGCTGCAGCAGAAGGTCAACGATGTGGACATTGACGATATATCGCCGGTGCTGGAGCTGGAGCTGGATCCGGCCAGTCACAGTCCCGTCTCGCCAGGCACGCCCACGCACGCCTCCCACTCGCTGTCGCTGGGCTCCGATTGCGGCAACCTGATCGATGACGAGATCGCCGATCAGCCAGCGCTGCTGTGCAACAGCGAGGCGCCGGAGCACGCCACCGACACGCCGACCCTCATGGAGACCCACACAACCGGATCGCTGCGCTCGCTCAAGAGCATGTCGAAGGCGCGCACAGCTCTGCAGCAGGCCATTGAGCTGAGTCTGCGCACTCCGGCGGCCGTGCGGCGGGCGGTGCTCAAGAGCGCCGAGTCCCTGGACACGCTGTCGCCCTGCGAGTCCATTTGCTCGGATGACTTGATGATGGACTTCGATATGAACAGCAGCGTCGATTCCATAGATCGCACCGCCTCGGTGCGCAGCCGCAGCAGCCCCGACCTGCACAAGCTGAGCGCCGACCTGGAGGCCGACCAGGCCGAGACCGAGGCAGAGCTGCTCGCCCAGCTGGACTGCCAGGGCAGCGATGTCATGAAGGAGCTGAACTCTCTGCTGCGCGCCCGCATGCAGCGCAGCGCGCCCACTCCCAGGGAGCGCATCAGGTGAGTCCACACCTTACCCGACCATCGACTTTGCCCACCACTGGCCCCACCCAAAAACAGTTTTCCATTATCCAACTAATTGAATTGACTGCGCCTGGCCATCGGGCACACTGCCAATATGCCCAAAACCAAATGCAGCGGCCTGCCTTTGACTTTTCCTTTGATTTGTGTGCTTTTTATTAGCTCCGCTGGCACATGGCCAGCCATTGCAATGCCTTTCCCATTCCCATTCCCATCTCCATGGCACCACTCCCAGCCACTCGAAAGTAATTCAACTTCTGCCTAATCAATCAGACACAAACTGCACTCCTTTGCCGGCTTTGTCACACCTTCCCTTTCTCCCTCTCTATCTCGCTCTTGCTCTCTTTTTCACTCAAAGAGGCAGCATCTTGCCGGCACCTTAACACTAGAAAGCTTTTGAGTTACTTCTAGTTGCTCGGGTTTTGGTTGTTTCAAGTGTTCTCAAGTGAAAAATTCTGTTGGATAAAATTTGTGTAAAATATTTGTTTGAAATGTTATTTCAATTAGCATCCATAGCATCTGAAATTTACGCATTACATATGTACATATATTCTATAATATTTTCTTATTATTCCTGCATTGAAGTCGCTTTGCCTTTGGCCTATGACGTCAAAAATGTACGCATTATAAATATGTTATAGCATTTTCCTGGTTTGTCACTTTGTCTCTCGTTCTCTACTTCTCTGCTTTATCCAACTTATCAGCATATCAATTTCTATCCCTCTATATTTCTATATCTATATATATATCATCCATTGCTCAACTTTTCTCGCCGTTTTCTCTTCTCTATTGAGCTCAGTCTGCTCTATATGACTTATATTGCGGACTTTTCTCTCATCATTTTTCACTCTCTCCCTATACCTCTCTCTCTCTCTCTCTCTATCTCTCAATCTCACTGCCCATCTCTCTCTCGCTCTCTCACTCTCTCTCTGTCTCTATCTTTATCTCCATCTCTCTCTTGTCAATCTAACTCTTTCTCTCTATCATATCCTCTTCACTTCACTCTCTATTACTCTCTTCTTTTCTTAAACCGTCTCTCTCTAACTTCCTCTGATTTATCTCATTATTTATCTCATTTCCTCTGTACCTTACAACTTTATGGGCAGCAAAATCTCTATAGCTCTACTTCTCTCATTATTTCACCATCTATCCAGTACCGTTTCCTCCGCCCTTATAGGGTTAATAGTTGCAGTCAGTGCAGCTTGGCCAGCTCAGCGCATTGGAATTGCAGGTCTATGCCGCAAGGCATTTATTTGGTGGATTGAAAATTGAAATTAGCCCAAAACACTAGACAGACGGACAGACGGACAGGCGGACAGACAATGGGACAGGTTGAGAGCTAAGAGCTGTTGTTATTTGAGTTGGCCAAAAGGTCGTTCCCATTGCCGTGTTACCAATTGGCGCTCTCAATTGCAATGCTTAAGCGCCTGCTACCACGAAATGTGGTTAGTGGGCGGGAGCGGGTGTGGATGAGAGCGGCTTTTGGCCAACGACAGCGTCAAAGCCAAAGCCAAAGACAGAGCCAAGAGGCAACGGCACTTGGCATTTGCCAACGAGCGCCTGTGCCTGGCCGGGGTCTGGCTCTCGCCTGGCCTGGCTTTGCCTGGCCTGGCCAAATCGTGGCCGTAGTTAAGATAACATTTTGACTTTGGACTGAGACTTGATGGCGAGTGCCGCATTCTTTTGTCATGGCAACGACAACCACAACAACAGCAACGACAACAACAACAACCGGCAACGGCACGACAACGAAAAGTTGTTTCTGGTTCCAGCCAAACTTAAAATGTGTCTCTCTCGCTCTCTCTCTTTTGCTCTCTCTTCTGTTGCCGCTTTATTGCATTGGCTAAGGAAAAATCAATTGTCTGCCCATGTGAACCTGTTTCGACCTGCTCGCTGGAAAAGCAGCGAAAAATAACTGCAAAATGCCGCTGGCTGAGCTGTCGTTGTTGTTGTTGCTGATGATCGTTGTTCCATACGCATGCGCCTGGGGATTGCCTTTCATAATGTATTGGTGAATGTCCCCATAAATCGCTAAGGAAAATGGCCAAGCTGAGGCTTAGGCGGCCCACAGCTGCGCAGCTGAAATCTGTAAATCTTTTAATCGTTTTGAGCAAACATAATTCATATGCAAAGCATATACAACCCACACACACGCACACACATGGCTTAACCTTGGGCCAACAACGTGTGTAACCCACTCGCTAAATGCCATGAGTCACAGCAGCAGCTACAACAGCAACAACAACAACAGCAGCAGCAGCAGCAGGAAAACTGCTGAATAACTTGCTGCCAAACTACTGCCAATTGCAGCTGTCTGCTGCGATGTGATCTTTATTACGACGACTCGATTGTGGCTATCTTGTAATGCTAGAAAGCTTTCTATTCTAACGGCAAAGACACACGCGAAGAGCTTTCATTGCAACAATAGCAAAGCCAAAGCATTCTTGCGGCTTGCCCGCTGAGACGTTCTGGAATCGAGGCCTGGAATGCGCACAGTGGCATCAAATCGATAGGGAAATGTGACTAACAGACCCCATAATTGACTTAATAAATTGTTATGAATATTGATTGACCTGAAATGGAGCAAATGTCAGCAGGCTAAATATTCAAATTAATAACAAGTATGGCATGCCAAGGCAAAGAGTAGAGGCTAAAATAAAAGGGGCCCTGCTCAAACATTCATATAGGTATATACGTAGGTCTTTATGGAAATGCTTTGAAATGTTCAATTGAACAATTGCAATATATTTAATATTATATAACGAAGGGAAATATATTTGGAAATAAAACTAAACTTAGTTTCAAAGAGACTGGCAGCTGTAGAACATCTTAGATCTAACACTGGTTTATATAAGGCATAGGGAAATATTTTAAACTTAAACATTTAAAGCATTTCCACACAACTTAAGATAAAGATTAGGTGGATGACTATCTGGCAGCTCTCACAGGTCTGAGAAATTTATCATGAGCTGCATTTTAGAGCTATGTATATATCAAACTGAAGAGTCATATATATACTAAAAATATTTTTTAATATTCAATTTTGTCTCTATAAATAATAGCAAAATTTAAAAAATCCCCTAATATTCAAAAATAGTGACAAAATAATACCCCTTAAACCATAGTGCTTCTGCAAGAATTTCCCAGCACAAATTTGTACTACTTTGCCTCACAGTTCGCTCCACTGTGCCGTTCCGTTTCCCACATTCCGTCAGCCTTGGCGCTCGCTGCGCTAGCAACTCCACACAAAACTTCAGTATTAAACAAGATCTCAAAGCGTTCGCAACGGTTCGATGCGGTTAGCTGCGGCAACTTCGCTCAGTGAATTGACGAAATACAAAATTGTTTAGCTCAGATTAAAGCGAGCAAGCACATCAAAGCTAATCAGTGCGCGCTCTTGTGCAAAAAACTCAGCTGCGTGGGAGTCGGCTTAATTGCCTTTTTAATTACCAAACAAACAAAAAACAAAAATTTAGAAATAGAAATAAAAATTTAGGAAAATAAAGAAAATAGAAAATATAACACAAAACAAGAGCCAGTGACCGAATAGACCGCCCTCGCGAACGCCGCTGCCGATACGCACTGTTGCCTTTTCCATGCCACAAATACAAAGCCGACACCAACAGCAACAGCAACAGCAACAACAACAACTCCAGCAACAACAAATGCTAATAAAAATCGGGCAACATTTATTATAAAGACGCGCCGCAGGCACAAGTGTCAATGCTTTTTGTGTGAGTTTTGTGCAGAAACTAAAAATACAAATAATAAATAAAAGCAACAAAATTTATTTATGAAAATAAAAATCTAAAATAAAAACAAATTGCAAACTGACAACGAGTTTGTGTAAAATGTGAGTAGCAACATATAAATAAAGGAAAAAATGTGAACGTGTCTGACTGCCTGCCTAATACTCGCTCAGCGTACGATCAGAGATTGAAAGAGGATATTAAATTACATTTATTACTGATAGATCTTGATGCTTATGGATGAATCTCATTTGTGTGCGTCTATCTTATTGAATGATCAGCAGGGGGGCGTGCATAAGTACCGTTTGTGGGGTGTGGGAATGTGGAAGCTATAGCAGGTATCGATATGATAAAAGACAGAGAGAGAGATATGTAGATAACTGTGGAGATATGTAACAAAATTAATAACATATTTAATCTTTGTATATAAAAACATGTAAATTCATACATGTATATACATATATTAGTCCCTTTGCATTTGTTTTATAACTCTCCAGAATATCCTATCTGAATCTCTCTATGTTTTTCTTCAGGGATATGAAGATATGTATAGCAGCAGGCATATATTGTTAGGTAGGTAAAGAGCTATTGATAGCCTTAAAGATGGTGAGAAATATATTGACAACAATGATATATATATTAAGTTTATATATTATTAGTTTATATAGTATTATATAGGCCCTGACTTTTCAATCAGCAAATATGTGAAGTTTCTTATATAAAGTTTCTATGATAAACGTGTCTGCGTTAAATTTCTTATATATATATTAGCTCCAGTTACTTCTCTCCAATTCCTCGCCCCTTCGTGTCTCATACCCGCTCACATGTACAAATTTTCCATTTACCATGTAAGCCCAACCAATATACCCCCTTACCAACAAACAAACTCTTATAATAAAAGACAAAGCTAAATTATGCAAAATGATGAAGCGACTCTGGCTGCAAGACGAAACCACAAAAACTTATATTTGGTAGCAAGCCGCCGTTCAAGTCGTTGGCCAAGCGGGTGTCAGTTTCCGCCCCCTTTATTGTTGTTGTTTTTTGTTGTAATTTGCGTAATTTGAGATATGCAGCGGAAAACAATAGGAAAAACAATAGCAGGTGGAAAAGTGTGTCACATGCAAATGCATTTTCGACAAATTCGCTGGAATTTGATGCCCATAAATAATTACGACAAAACAAAAGAGGGAAAGAAAGAAGAGCTGCAAGTGTTGGCCAAGTAAACTGAGCCCCGTTTATGGCCAGCTAAAGCCGTTGACGCTTCAAGTTCAGTTGCTGCAGCAGTGGCAGTTCCTGTTGCCGTTGCTGCTGCAGTGGCAGTTGCTGTCTTTTGTGGCAAGTTGGCCCTGGGCTGGGAACATTCTGGCCAGCCAGCTGAGCTGAGTTGAGCTGAGGGGCTTCTAAGTGCGCTGACTGTGCGTACTTAGAGCCTTCAGCTTTGGACATGCATAATTCAACAGAATGTGAGTCCGTTGACCACAAAATGCCATTGAGTGCAAATACAGATAGAGATGCGGACACAGCTGCACTGAGAGAAATGCTCTGCGAGTATATAAAGATTTTTTATTTAGACTCTTCAAGTCAGCGCTGCTCTAATTAAATATTTCTTTAGCTGCAGCTCATAAAGAATTTAGCTTTTTCTTGCAGTGTATCTATGTAGCTACCAATCAAGCAACTTACCTGCCTACCTACCTATCTGTCTGTCTGTCTGTCTGTCTGTATGTCTCTTCGCCTCACTCTCTCACAGTTTGCCTGTTTGTCTGTCGTCAGCGCCGCCTCTTCCTCTGTCTACCTGGCAGTCGGCGTTGATCATCGCCAGCCAGCCTCATCACCATCATCATCATCATCATCATCATCAGCATCTTTTACTGCGCAGACAAAGCTTCGCTGGCATGCCACAAGATACAAGCCACAAGCTACAAGATACATACAACAACACCGGATTCGGATTCAGATTCGGATTCTCAGCTCAGATTTACCTTGACTTCCAGACTATCTATGTGTGTGTGTGTCTGTGTGTGTGTGTGAGAATGTTGTGTATGCTGTGATTTTGTTATGGTTATTAACATTACGCCGGCCAGTCGCCAGTCGCCAGTTGGCAGTTGGCAGTTGGCAATCTCCCATTTTCCATTTCCCATCTCCCATCTTTGTAGCGTCTCTAATGAAGCGCCCTTTGGGGCTGCCACACGCCGTCGTTCCCGGCCCGGTGTCGACATTTGCTGCACTTCCGTGCCTATGACAAATGACGTTTCACCAAACAAATTGATAAGTGCCGTTAGGCTCCACATGGAGCACATGAAGCGCTTGTCGACGCCTCTGTAAACTGTTTTTCTTTTTGCTTGTCAGCGCTGGCAGTTGTCGGTTAACGGTTGCAGTGACGGTGGCAGTGGCAGTGGCAGTTGCAATGACAACTGCGGCTGCGGCAACTGCCACAACGACCCCAACGGCGACACTTGCCTCCGGCATGCGCCTCGACCAAATAGGAGACTCCACACACAGTTAAGTCTAGGCGACTCCATGACTCGGCGCTGGCTGCGCCAATTGCCAACTCCATTAGCTGACGATGTTGCAATGACGAACGTTTTGTAGTGCACACACTCACACACACACACATACATCCACTCATATGTATTCACATAAATATATCCACTCTTGAAATTTCCGGTGCAGTTGTGCAAAGTGCTCGGCATTGTTTTGATTTCAGACTTCTTTTTCACAGTTGATTTCTGCATGCCCAACCACCATATAAGGCAGTTACATTTATATGTATATATAGGGTAGACTATAGACTATATACTATGTATATGCTGGCCACAATACGATCCAGTTGGCGTGCGAAATTATGAATGTTTGTATTGACTGCTCTGAAATTTGCATATCTATGAAAGCTGCCTAGACTAAATGTGGGTCTGCGCCAACGGCAGCAATATGTATGCAAATATACTACCTGTAGCAGAGGGAAATAACATTTCATATTATTAAAGAGATAGGAATAGAAATGGAGAGAGTGCCTAGAAAAGGGAGAATCGAGTGGGTGGCAAACAAAGGGGAAGACAGAATTAGAGAGACAGAAAAAATGTGGATAATAGATGGCTGTAGAGAGGGAGAGACAAAATAGAGATTGGTAGAGATATCTAGAGAGAGATATAGAGTAAGAGATACAGAGAGACAGGGTGAGAGAGTGGGTGAGATAGGGAGAGAGAGGAGGAGAAGGAAATCAAAGAAGAGGGAGCAAGTATGACAGACAGACTGACTGACGATCGACACAGATCGTCGCCCTGTTCAAGAATATATATGCTTAACGGCCATAAGCTATTGACCATATCAGCATTTAGCCTTATCAAGCACATACATAATTCTATGTATATGCCGGTATATCTGTCTCTATGTCTGGCTGCCTAAAAAGAGCAAAAGACGCCAAAGCACTACCGCAGATCAGTCCAAGTTGTCTATGTGTATGCAGGAGTACTCGTTCGGTATTTAGAATTGAGTAATACGAAGCTAGAATGCTTGCAGCAGCAGAGAGTGCTCCCATTGGTCACTTAAAGCTCAAATGCAACGAGCCCTACCTGGCACCGGGCACAGCATTTGAGAGCGACTGGGTGGTTGAGTGAACGGCGCCCTATATAAAGGGCAGCAGGCACTGAATTTCTTCAGTCGTTGATGCCTGTTGGGAGTCAAAGAAGTGCAGTGAAGTAAAGTGAAGTGAAGGAAAGTGGAGATTTAGAGAAAATTCTTCTTGGAGGAAATACGTAGAGACGTAGAGGAAACACTTAGAGAAAAGACTTAGACGAAATTCTCTCTAACTACTCTGTTAAGAAGACCGCCATGAGGCTAACCTATGCATAAGCTTGTAGGCCATACTTGTAGACATACTTATATACTCTATTTACATGTGTATATATATGTTCTTATGTTCTGCTCTCCGCTAATTGATCCTTCTCAAATTGTCTTTGGTTTCTCTTTCTCTTCTTGACCTGCTTTCGGCTTTCTTCAGTTCTTCATTTCGACATTAGAAGGTCATTATATTCAAATTAAAGGGATCATAAAGCTGAAAGTATGTTTAACACAATTTAACTTCTTCTTCTTCTTCTTTTGACAAAATGCCAAGTCAAAACTCTTTTTCAGCTGAAAATGGAAAAACCATTAAGTCGAATGCTTGATAAAGATTAACTAAAATGTTTTGCGCTTCGCAAAGTTTTTTGTTTTTATTTTTTGTTGTTGTTGTTGTCTTTTTTTTTTGCCAACTTTAAGTGAATTTTGTTCCCATTTTCTTGGACAATTACGTAGCACTTTTGCCATTTGTTTTGTTTTTTGCATTCAAACTAATTAAGTTCGCTTTGCGCGCTGTGAAAGTCAAATAAAAATGCAAACAATTTGTTTTATGGCTCGCTGCGATATGGCACATATATACATACATATATATACCTGTATACATATATATTTGTGTATATATATTTCTGTCATGCCAATTGGCCATCAGAGTGGCGTTAGTTAGCTGTGAACTGAAAATTACAAGAGCATTAAAATTATGCTTCAAGTGTAGATTTATCGACCTTAAGCACATTTTTTGGGCTCCCTCTGTCTCTCCCTTTCGCTCTGACCCCCCTGCCCTCCCCCTGCCCCTGACCAACAAATGTGAGCTGCTTTTCATTGAGCATTTATTGGCATTTGTTTTGTTTCGAAGAGCTTGTATAAATTATGCCGTGAAATGTTTAACAAGCGCGCATGTGTAAGACTCCGCCGCCCCCCCTCCCTCTACTCTAAATACAAGCTGCAACACGCAACAGTTGACTTTCACCAGCATGAGCAACAGCAGCCGCCACATATTTCCAGCTCCACGTAACTTATTTTGGCTGGCAGAGCAGCAGCAGAGGCAGCAGCAGCAGCTTCCCAGCATGAGGCTGGCGCACTTAATTGCCCATTGATGCGCACCGCACCAGCTCCCTGGGTGCCACGCCTCCTAGCCCAACTCCCGCCATCAGCTGGTGCAATCAATGAATGCCATTTCACTTTCATTGCGTTTGCTTTTAATTAAAGCGAAATAATTGATATGAGTAACTATGCGGTTGCCTTAAGGAATAGCCTATTCTCCACTCTCCACTCTCCACACTTCATCCCCCACTCCACACTCTCCACACCTTGGAACTCTCCGCTCTCAGCTGTTCGTGTTGCACTGCGCATGTCCCGATTGTGTCATCGTCATCGTCGTCCTGACAACAACAAATGCGAAAAGTCGAAACATCGATGCGGCCAGTCGCATCAGCATGTCCAGCAGTGCAGTCACATCCTCGCCCAGCGGCGTGCGTAGGGTGCGCACGGACCTGAAGACCTCGGAGAATCGATTCCTGCAGTTCAGCCAACAGCGCAACAGTTCGCCCCTGGGCATCAAGCATGGGCATACGCACAGCTGCCACCACACCCACACGCACAGCCCGCAATTCCACTTCCTGCCCAGCAGCGCACCCACTGCCAATGCCACATATCTCAGGTTCCGTTTAATTGCTCCACTTAACAGCTCTGGCTAATCGTTGCTCCATTTGCTTCTCCCTCGACAGCGCCAAGCTGCCTGCACGTGCCACGCGCCTGCTGAACCGCTCCCGGCTGCAGGATCAGCAGCTAGCCGGCAACGACTCGGACAACAGTTTGCGCTCCACGCACAGCGGCGCCTCCAGTCGCAAACGCAGCACCGCCGCCTCGCGCGCCTCCACCGCCTCGTCCACGTCCAGCTTGCAGCGACGCCAGCAACAGCAGCAGCAGCACCACCACCACCAGTTGGGTGGAAATTCTGCCTCCGGCTCGAGACGCGCAGCAGGTGGCCTGGCGGGCAACGCGGAGCTGCATAGCTCATCGGACGATCTGATGTTGTATGACAAATCCTTCAGGAATGCCATGATCCAGGATGTGCTGCAGTTCAAGAAGCAGCTGCTGCGCCTACGTCGCATACTTCAGGAGGTGGGTGACGACTCAGTCGCTGTCGCTTGCATTCGTTTTCATTTTCATTTTCCATTTTCAATTTTCTTTTGCACACGCACACACACATTCACACTCATCAAACATCCACACACATACTCTGACACCTGCACAGGATGCTGAATCTGACTGCAAGCGGGTAGGTTTTCATTTTCTTTACTTTTGATTTTCCACACCAATTTCCTTAGCTCATAAATTTTGCATTGAAAATGTTTGCTTACTCATTTCCCCGATTCTCTCTCTACTCTGACCCACAGACGGAGACGCTGAACCCATTCGAGAATGACAATGTGCAACTGTTTGCCGCCTGTGGGCTGGATAGCAAGCAGCTGAATGACATCGACCTGGCCAGCCTCACCTCGTCCACCACGGAGGACCCGCTGCAGGAGCTATCGGATCTACGTAGACAGGTGGTTTACCTTCAGGTATTTGCACGTTCTTTTGCCTTTCGTTTGCTCGTACCACAACAAAAACCAACTCAGTCACGAGAGTATCCAAAGCTCACCCTAATTGCTTTCTTATCAACTTATCAACTATCTAAGTACATATATACGAAGCAGTCACTGAACTGGATAAATCCAAAAATTCAATCTTAATGCGTTTTCTCTTAACTCTCTATATAGTATCGAATTGCTGTTGTTTAATTTTTATATAAATGTTTCCACTCTGGCATGTCACATACAAAAGAAGACAACAACAACAAAAAACATACAAACTTAATGCTTACTTTAAATAGTTATCTATAATCCACAAATCTTATATACCAATACATATATAAATATATATATTTCTTGTTTTTTGCTATGAGTACAAAATTCAAACACGCACTCTCAAATACTCTTACTTTTACTCCAACTCTTACACTTACTCTAAAAACTAGCTACATCTAGATAGTTCAATTATACTGAAACTAAAATACGCATTCTTAGCTGTTGTCTATTTGCCTTGCTCGAAATTCCGAATCACGGGAAGTTTATATAACGAAAAGAAGCTGTTTCTAGAGAGCATTTCGAATTAAACATTTGTAAATTTAAATTTATTGAGATAAAAGTTATCTAAACTAAAATGATATTAGCTTTTGTATAAAGGAAATGAAATGAAAATGAAGCTAAAATATTCACTAAATGATTATGGGTTTAATTATATAAGAAGTCCGAAAAGAAAGTTAGAATTAATACAAATTCTGTATAGTAAAAACCGATAAGCAATGAGCTGAAGCAAAATGAAAAAAATTAAGTAGGAATTATAACTAGAGCGAGCCCAAGAAACTGGAATGCTGAAGCTGAATTAGTTGTAGGATATACAGAAGCCTCATATAAACAAAGAAGAAGCCGAGTAAATTAACATTAAAAGAATTAGACGTTTATGCTAATAAATTCCAAGATTTATCAAGCATATATAAGATCCCAAAAGATTCCATTTTCCATTTCAAAAGATTCCATTTGACCAGTATGGAAGTATCCAGCAATCCACTGGAATTTGAAACACAATTGTAACTAGAAACAGCTTTTGAAAACCTGAGTCCAATTATCAATTGCAAACCTGTGTAATTATGTTTTATTTTGAGCTTAGCTGAACATAAAAGTTAACTTAACTGGGCAATAAATGCCAAAGAGAAAAAAACAACTTGGCTGGAATGCTTGGCAATTGGAATAGTATGCAATTTAGCAATTTTGAAGAAAAACAATGTTTTTTTGGTTCGGAATTTGGAGCTTGGCTGTGTACGTTGATGGATATAGTGTATACTCCGTATTTATGCAACTCTTTTTTGTGAATGTCTTGAAAGAAATACACACTCTCTGGCTTAGTTTGTGAACATGAATATCTAATTTAGTGGCCTTTGCCTGAGCTCAAGCACAAAACTAACAATTGCCACAACACACGTACGTCTGTATGTGTGCGTGTGTGTGTGTGTGTATCTTTAAACAGGGTCAAGTGGATGATCGTGATCGCACCATACGCCTGCAGCGAGATCTCATCGAGCAGCTGGAGGCGGAGAAGCGACAGGCCACAGAGGGAGATCAGGCCAACAAGGAACGCATTAGCATGGCCACCCAAACGGAGCGGGTAAGTGCATCAGTTCCATGTACATCTCTCTATCTCTCTCTCTGTGTGTGTGTGTGTGCACAACATTGACTAACCGAACGCTATTGAATTCATTTCCAATTCCACTTTCACAGACACGTCCACTTGCCATTGGTGCGGAGGGTTTGTCCAGGTAGGCAAACGTTCATTCAGCGATTTGATTTATTCTGAAAAATTTCCACATGCTCAAATTGAAAATTTTAAATTACTTTTATTTTGTACTTTGTATTTTGTTGCAACTAAACTACAACAAATTGCTGCGGCTGCTGCTGCTGCTGCTTGCGGCTGTCAGCTGCTTTTCATGCAACGCTGAGTTTTCGGCTTGCGGCAACATGCAAATCAGTTGCTGCCTCTTGACGCTAATGGCCACAAATTGTAATGGCAGCGGCCCAATTTGGCCAGCTTGCAACAAGTAGCAGCCACAGCAACAACATTGGTGGCAGCAGCAGCAGCAGCAGCAACAGTTGCTGTTGCGCTCACTTACTTTTTGTAGCTTGTGCCCATTATCTAACTATTCGCAACTACCTAATACATCTGATTAACCACTCTTAATATACATATATACATATCTATATACGTATCTATATATATACCTATATCATCCCACTATGCTGCCTTTATCTAACTATCCATCTATATGTGTATCTGTATGCATATAGACTGCAGTTTGGGGAGCAACAGGTACTATTTTGTGATTTCATTTTAGCCATTATAGTGCTCTGCGCAATCAATCTACTATGTATACTACACCTAAGCTATAACTGTCTTGATAACTGTAATACCTGCACCTGAATAAGGACTAGCTCGTAGCGAATAACTGAGCAGAGCTTTAACTGTATTTAATACTAAACTTAATACTAAATACTAAAACAGAATTTGAATACTTGTAGATTAGTGTATGAATAGCTTTAACTATATTTGATACTAAACAAAGACCAAAACGGCATTCGAGCTTTTCGAATGGAGTTCCTAACTCTAATTGAATTATGTTACATATAAGATTCGAGATTATTTGCTATTTTAAGTTTGAGCCTTTGCCTCGCATTGGGCATACTAAAATTTAACAATGTACATATGAAATACTAAAAATATACCAAAATACTACAAAGTTCGAGTCGCCGTTTAAACTTTTGTTAACTTTACTTTTAAATGAGTATTAAACTAACTCTAAGTACTGTTAGCCGTAAGCCTTTATATAAATTTGTTGCCTGACACTTAACACTGTTTGTGAACAATTTCAATTGCATGCGGCAATTAATTAGACTTCCCAGGTAAAGCTGTAAACTAACAATTAACACAGTAGTTGTCTGACTCAAAGTGGACTCAACAATTCAGTAACTGACTAATCTTTGCCTTATCTCTACCGTTCGCAGAAGTAAGCCTGAATATACGAGCTATACCACGCACTTTCCGACGCTCCACTTGCATTGCAACGACTCCACGCTGGCAGCCACCACGATAATTCGTCACCGGCCGCAGCCACAGCCACAGACACAGCAGCAGCAGGCACAATCATGCACCAATCACAACAACAACAACAATAGCAACAACAACAACAACAATTGCCGTTCTCTTAGCCAGACACGACGTCACACGATTATTTCGACCACATTGACCAACTACAATCAGCAGCTGGCCGCCGCGGCCTATCCACGTCGCGCCTCCATCGGCTGGGATGGAGCTGAGACAGTGGCGCCTGCAGTGGCGCATAAGCCGGTGCGTATAACACTGATTGGTGAGCCCTTGCCGCAACAAAATGGCGGCTGTCACAAGGCGGCGGCGACGACGACGACGACGACGCCGACGCCGCCATCACAACAAAATGGCGTCAAGGCGCATTTTCTGAATGGCTGCCAGAGCGGAGCGAACAGCGCGTTGCCGGGCGCCCATTATCAGCCGTTGTACAACAGCAACAAGATGACAAACCCAACCGTAACTATAGTCTGATTTAGATACCCTACACTGCAAGCGGCCCCAAGCAGCAGATACTCTACCAAGCTAAAGGAGGAGGATTATAAAATGCGTACAAGTGTTGGCAGGCGCTTAAGCTACAAATTCTTTCAAATATGATTAGAGAAAAGTTTAATATATATTTAAAAAGAAATATATATCATATATACACACAAATATATATTGATATACTCTCAAATTGTTTTTGCAGTCTTACCAAACCAGTAAAAAAAATACAACTTAAAGATTCAATTAAACTTATATAATATTCTAGTTGATAAGAAGATTGCCTACATTTATCTTTGTGTACAAAATAAATATATGCAACAAGTACATATATAAATAATATATATAAAATACATAAATTAATGATAATGGAAATTTCTGCTCTATGTCTAGTACTTAATTACTTAATTAATTGTTAATTATTTGTAGTCTAAGCTTTAGTACATTCTGTAATTATTTTCTTTGTGGCTTATTTAACTGTATTATAGTATACGAACCACTTGATGCTACAAATATTATAGCTACATACATATATATATTCTACTTAAAGAGCACAATAATCGTAATTATCCAAAATACTTACCATATGAATACTAAAATCCAATTGTAAACAATGCTAAGCTTATTAAATAGAGTTCTAGCCAGATGCTATTTATCTATAGAATTGGGTGTGTCTTCTTTCCTTTAGGGGGAATTTCTCAGCTGAGACCCATCACTCCAATTGCCACTCGTCTGTGAAAGCAGCTCTTCAGTCATCTACCCCAGCCAAGATCAGTTTCAGAACCGGATCAGCTGCTGCTACTGCTTCTGCTGCTGCTTCTGCTTCTGTTGGCAGCAAAAAACTTGCTTTAGCCTTGTTGGCTCTTATCAACGGCTGCGTGTTAGTCACAGTTGAGCATTCGATCTGGAATGTCGTTGAATGCGCAACCCTTGCGCCTAGGCCCAGTCCTCTGGCTGCTGTGCTGCGGCCTCTCCCAGGTGCTGAGCCAGATATGCGAGGCTCAAGGCTGGCGCAGCTTCGAGTGCCGTGAGCTGAGCAGCCTGAAGGAGCTGAAGAACGTTAGGGACTTTCCCAAAGACAGCCTGCACAGGCTGAGCATTAGAAATGCGCACACAGAACTGAGCATGGGCATAGGTGAGTCAGGCTCGTAGTGAATACAGCTGCAGCTCAGCTCAATATGTTTTGCAGCTGCCAGCGGGCTAAGTCTCTCGGGGCTATTGGACTTGGATCTGTCGCATGTGCCACAACTGCAGCTGGAGCGACGCGGCTTCTCCTGGCTGCCCCAGCTGGAGCAGCTAAATATCAGCGGCTGCGCTCTGGAGCAGCTATTGGCCGCGCACTTTGCTGCCAACTCATCGCTGCAGCTGCTCGACGCCAGCCACAATGAGCTGCCCAGCCTGACAAAGGAACTCTTCGGCAACCTACGCAAACTGATTTATGCGAATTTCTCGCACAATGCGCTGCAGCAACTCGAGCTGCCCCACATGCCGCTGCTGCAGCAACTGCAGCTCAGCCACAATCAGTTGACAAACATCAGCTTCGCTCCTTGTCCTCAGCTCCAGCAGCTCTGCCTCAACGACAACCAGCTGAGCCAGGTAAGCCAGAGAGCAAAAAGCAAGAGCTACCTCTGCTAGTCTACATACATATATTCGTTTGGCTTAATCTTATTCCGTAAGAGAAGAGTATTCGGTTTACGATGAATCAAACCTATTTAGCTTTGATTTAGTATCTGGAAGTATAGCTCATAGTTATAATGGGTAAAAATATGGTATGTATATATAAATAGCGTACATGAGAACCTGTTTGCTTTACGCAATATTAAGCGATTGCCTCTGAAGTATTTGCGCCCCTTAGAGATGCATTTGCTCATATTACAAAACAGATTTAATATTTAAATATTAGCTAATGATAGAATTCGAATTTTCCCAGTAAAGCTCAGTTTCGTAAATGGCTTTCTAATGCTTACAGCTAAATGCGAGTAGCTTCAGAGGATTACCCGGATTACTCGAGCTGCAGCTGGCGGAGAATGCTCTGAGGACCATAGGCAAGAACACCTTTCAGCCCTTGGCCAAGCTGCGTGCCCTAAATCTCTCGCACAATGAACTGGATGCACTGCGTCCACAGATCTTTGGCTCTGGAGTGTTTGCGCTGCAGCAACTAGATTTATCCAACAACAACATACGGCTGCTCTTTGACAACCAGTTCCTATCGCTGGGCAGACTTCAGGTGCTGGACATAGCACACAATAGCATCGCCAGCCTGAGTGCCGGACAGTTTGCGGGTCTCAGCTCGTTGCGGAAGCTGTATTTGCAGTCCAACGATATTATAGAGATCAAGGCGCATACCTTTGCAGCGCTCGAGGATCTGGACACGCTCGACTTGTCGCACAACAACGTTGAGTACCTGCACGAGCACGCATTCGGTAATCGGACTCTGCCGCACATGCGTAAACTGAATCTGAATGCCAACAGCTTGAAGCATTTGCATGCACTGTCCTTCTCCTCGCTGCCCTTTCTGGAGTATCTGTCGCTGGGCAACAACGAGCTTTCCAGCCTGGATGTGCGCATGTTTGCGCCGATGCGGCGTCTGCAGAAACTGCACTTGGGACACAACGAGCTGACCCACATTAGCTCATTGGTGCTGGACAGCTTCAGCAGCGTCTCGGATTTGCTCATCGACAACAACAAGCTAACCTTTCTACCGGATCTGAATGGTACGCTCGGCAATCTGAAGCGTATAGCCATTGAGGGCAATCCCTGGCAGTGCGCCTGTTTCACACAGCTGGAACGTTGGCTGCTTTCCCATCATGTGACCTATCTGCGGCAGGGCACCGGCTTCTACGACGGCGAGAAGCCTCTCTGCGTGGTCACAGCATTCGAATACTGTGTGCAGACACTGCAGGAGGATCGCCATCAAGATGTGGTGGATGAGTTTGAGGAGCGACTGAAAAATGGACGCGAATTAGATGTTAGATCAGATGAAGACTGACAAGTGTGTGTGTTTGTGTAATTAGTAAGTTAATCTGAAATAAATATACTTCGATGGGGTCCTTGATGACACCCCTTGAAGGCAAAACACAGCCAGTTGGTGAAGCAGCATTTCATTCCAAGATAGATATTGTATTCAATGTTTTCTACATATTGTGGTACATTTCCGATTTGTTTTGCTGCGTCTCGCGTTTCTGTATAATTTTACAAATTAACAAACTAAAAGTCGAGTCGTTTAGGCGCTCTTGACACGGAGAGCCAAAGCGGTCAAGTCACCAATGCACTTGTTCAGCGTCTCCTTCTCCTGCTGGGGCGAGATGCTGGACAGCACGCTGGACACAATCCAGTTGACCATATGCTTCTGGCTGAGACGACGCTCAACATGACGGCACTCAACCTGGTAGTCCAAGCGGCGCTTGACCTCAGAGTAGACGTTCATGGTACGTTCACGGAATGCAGCCTCAAGCTGGAGGGCAATGTTCTCCTTCTTGGCTTCCATCAACAAGAGGGCACCATCTGCGCGCCATTGCTCCTTCTTCTCGGCTTCAATGGCATCGGCGAGAACCTTGAGCTCAGCCTCACGACCCTCCTTCCATTCGGCTTCAATTTTCTACAGAAGAAGAGATTTAATATATATTCCATTCAACATCAGGTTGACACAAACTTACGTCGATTTCACCATCAGCCCACTTGGCGATAACCGGACCCAGTTTCTTGACAGCAATAATAGCCATGATACCAAGCGACAGACCGCTGTAGTATTCGTGCTCCATGACGTAGATTTCCTTGGAGCAGAGATAGGTGATCAAACCCACGCCGAATGTGTAGGGGCCGGTGACACCAGTCTTGTTATAAAAGAACTGGAACCATTCCTCTGGAATAAAGCCCAAACGCACCTTGCCGGGATGTTCGGGACGCTGACGGCGCTCAACAGCTCCGCCTGCTGGCTGAGCAGCGGCAGCAGCTGCCGAACGGCTAGCCACCAAAGTCAATGGGCGCTGGGCTATAAAACAAGCGAAACAGGATTAGTAAAACTTTGCACCTCATCATTTGCCAAAAATTCAATTTTGACATTCCTTATGCGAATTGTGCCCGTGATTACATAAACCACGATGGCAGAATTCGCGGTGCCGTAACAATTTTCACGGTCGTCTTTTGGATACATTGGCCAACGATTTGTAAAAACAAGCCAAAATGTATCAACTCGAATTAACTTGTTTGGCAATTTCGATGCTTACCTGTAAGGAGTGCGGCTCTTGAGAACATTTTTGTAATAATGTTTCAACCAATTTATGCTACTGAATTGACGTTCGGGTGCTCACCTACTCTGTAGTTCACAATAAAACACGAGCCGAAAACTATCGCATATATCGATTACAAGCAGCAGTCGATAGCATTTACAATCGTCTGTATAGCGCTGCCAGATGCGTAGGCAAAAATATACTAAATTTATAGCTCACTTGTTGCATGGTATTTTTGGATTTACTCTCCATATTTTAAATTTCTCGCGCCCTTGTCATTTATATCAAGACAACAGGTGACTAACTTGGGGTGACTTTTCTAGTTCACCGAACTACTTATCAATACTATCTTATCCTAAAAATTCCTGAAGAAAATATGACACAATCGTTTGCTTATCTGTGTAACTTTACAAGTTCTTTTATTTAAAAATATGACAATTCGCTAAGAAAATTGCGTCTAATATAAATCGACTGCGACTGAAAATACTTTTACAAAATACTATAAAGGAAACATATATAAAAAAAGATAATAATAGGCTTGTATGATTTCGATTTATGCATATATTATTCGTTTCGTTATTCAGTTCTCAAAGCTATTTGTGTGCACTTTTTATAAATAAAGCGTTAAAACATGAGCATCTTTGTATTTTCGTTTTGTTTTTTGTTTTCTTTTTGTTTTTTGCTAAACTAACTAAAATGACTGTCTTGTGCGTAGAGGATATAAACCTACAAAGAACATTAAATAGATTAAATTAAAAAAATAATATAGATATATAAAAGAAGGTATAAAATCACTTGCGCTATAGATATTTTGTACAGCATTTGAAATAAAAGATGATACGACTATTTACAGCGGTGAACATACACATATTTAAAAACGTTATTATACACGTATATAAGACTTTTATACAACTTTCAACATAGTTTGCTCCTTGATTTGTATATATAAAACGAAATGATTTGGCTCGCCTAACATTAGAATTGAATGTTGCGTACGGTATCAACAGGACGATGCTTCAAGATACTAGACAGATGTTACATGCATAGGTGAGACCACAGTTATCATACACAGTTCTCTCGAGTGCCGGAAGAATGATTGGGGGAGTGGTTGCAGTCCGTTTGGCTCATTCAATAACATTGAAGCGTGTTAGCAGCTTGTGGTAGAACCAACGTACCATTTGCTGCACGCGGGATGCCATCCACACGCAAAGGCTACCAGTGTGACGAAGCTTGGAAGCGTAGTGCTTGATGTGATCTGTGTGGCAGGAGTTAAGACAACCAAAAGTGTAAAGAAACAGTGAACAAGAATATACAAGCTATAATACAATAGAGGCATTTGATAAAAGGATATAATAATGTCCAAGGTGGATGACCGCCATTTATGTAGGTCACGTACGTGAAGCCGTCCTTGCCCTTGCCTCGTATATTATAGTAGTAGGGCAGGAACGAATGTAACGTAAATCTGCAAGCAAACAACAAAAAAAGGAATGACCGTTAATTGGCTAAGGACACGCAAATCGAATAGCAATTATCTAAATTTAATGTGGGTTAATGGAGGTGGGTTACCTTCTCTTCTCGTAGAAAAATATGGCAGGTTGATTTGTGGTCAGCGTGTGCAGGAAGATAGCCTTCACCGCATGTCTTTCTACTGTCGTCAAATGGTTCATCAGCGCGTCCAGTAGCAGCGAACCGATGCCATTCCGACGATGCGAGCGATGAACACCCAGCGATAATATGTAGCCCACGTCAGCGGTGCGACCCATCGAGTCCGGCAATATGCCTTTGTCCTGCATGGGAAAACCGCTCAGCCTCGTGTAAAATTCATCACTATCACTGATATTGGCTATTACCTCCTTATTAACATTTCGATACGGTTTGATTTCAGCAACAATTAAACCAATTATGGCCAGATTATAAACAGCCGCTAGCGCAAAGAAGCGCGAGCTTGAGGTAATATCCTCGTACCATGACAGTGGATAATCGATTGGAAACCATTCTTGGCACAGCGTGCGAACCTTGAAGGGATCACAATTTGAATGAGTATATTCCTTAACAGGTGTGCATACTTACTTCCGTTAAATCATCGGGCACTAAAAACCTCAGCTGGACATCATTGACCGAGCACAGCGGCACATGCTCGCAATCGCAGTCGACGCGTGTAATGATATCGTTGTTTGGCGGAGCATTGTGTTTATTGTAGCTAAGGGCAGCAGGCACCCAGTAACCGAAAGATATGTAATAATTAATTTAAAATGTGTGAGAGTGTGTGTGTGAGTGTCGATCATTATGTATTAGTAGGCGACGGCTGCCATTTCACTTGCATAATATTACGCGCGTCGTATAGTACGACTTCGGTAGATTAACAAAGTTGTCTCTATATATGTTCATACATACATATACGCAATACATATAGATATATAAACGCACCCTCTTAGGTAGGCCCCAGCAACAGCAATCGCTATCGGTGCCGTCGCCTTCGCCGTCGCCCACTCGCCCCATAGTGGACTCTGTGCTGAAAGAGCCTAGCTTGTCTACTCACAGCGTAAATGGTGCCATGCTAGTGGAGCTGCTGCTCTGGTGCCACCGCCGCTGCTGCTGCTGCTGCTATTGTTGCCGCTGCTCTTGTTTCCAATTAGAGCAGTTATGTCCATGGATTGTGGTGTGTGCACCACAGGTTAAGCGCGGAATTTGATCAACTGTCTGTGTTATGATAGTCTGATATTTGAACGGTGTGTTCTCTCTGCGTGCGTTACTTTTTGTGTGAGCGCCTAATTGATTTTAATTAAAATTCACAATCGCAGCATAAAACCCACTTGCTCGTTCGCTCGCTAGCTAGCTAGCTGCAGGCAGCTCTTTTATGGGGTATCAAATATCAAAGACAAACTGCTGCCTTTACTGCCAATAAACTCCATTTAGTGCGAGCTAGCTGACCAGCGTTGATACACACCCGCATTTCTTGCATGAAATAAACTACAAATTTTCCTAAGATATTTCTTTACATTGTTTATTACAACGACTAACGTGAAAAGTTCACTGTGAAGAGCACGATTGCTAGTGTGGAACAGCTGCTTTGCCATTCACACAAAAGCAGCGACGCGATGCCATTTGAACCCAATGCAGTACTGCCCGATAGTTCAAGTGAACCGCCGAATTCGAATGCATATTTCAAATGTGCCTTTATTGTAATTATCTTTTATTTGTATGTTTTAATAGCGCCTGGCTTGGCTTGCGGTTTGAGAAGTGCTGGCCACGGGCGCTGCAGCTGGCTTCGTTGGATCGTCCAGCACTCGCACCACCATTGAGCTCTTCGGACCCGTACACCAAGTTATGCCATGCTCATCCACAACAAATGTTTCCAACGTCACCTGGAACTGGCCGCCACTGGAGATGGGCAGCAAGAAGCTACCAGAGAGGAAGTCACGTTGTGGCTTCACAATTTGATTGAGCGTGACTGTGTCGTTGTTGGGCGACTTAACCAGCTCGTTGCCAGGGCGTGGCGTCAGCAACTGTGATGTCAGACTCAGTTGCACTGAGTCGACGCGTCGGAAGTGTTTCTGCTGCTTGCTAAAGTGTTGCAGCACGCCCTCCACCTTGATGACCAAATTGCTGCCAGACTGCACAATGACCGGCTCTGTGGCACTGCGAGGCTGCGGGCTAACCGACAGCTTGATCTGTGTGGATTGTAGTATTTGGAAGAAGTAGCGCGGCAAGCAGAGCGGCGTCTTTGTTATGATTTCAATCAGGGCGATGATTACGTCTAAATGCCTGTTGCTAATGGTTTTCGCATTGGGCGGTTCCTGTGGTAGGTTCTTCTGCATTTGCTCCATTCGCTGGCAGCTCGCTGCAAAAAAGCGGGTCTCCGGATGATTGCCTGTGGTCAGGAAGACAGGTGGCTCGGGCGGCGTAGCATAACAAATTGATTCAATAATATGAGCGAAAAGCGCGCATTGGAATTCGGCGACCTCAAGAAACTCCAACGTCACATTATCCGCATCGAATGACGACTTATAGAGGCGCGCATATGTCTCCTCGCAAGCTTTGAGCGACTTCACCAGTTTGCGCAACTGATTCGTAACGTGTCCAAACTTTTGCAAATAATCACGTGAATTCTGGGCCAAGCTGCCCGCAATCGCCGGAGGAGGCACAATCACCTGCGCATTCTTCACCGTCACAGCCAGATGCAGAGTCTGCAGGAACTGTGCGCGCAACTTCAGATACTCCAGTTGGAAGCTACATGGATGTTGCGGCGAGGAGCAGGCACGCATGCTGGCCAGCGCCTGCTGATATAGATTGCTCGCCGCTTCCAAGCGCCTCATCAACGGCAGCAGTGGCTCCGGGGCTTCCGTGGGCGCATAATTGTCCCGCATATAGGCATATTCTAGGCCATAATTAAGTATGCATTCGGCCTGCGAGATCTGCGCCAGCGCGACTAAAAAGTAGTGCATGTGATCACTGATTACGATTTGTGAGACTTTAGTGTAGATGTGCGCCGCCACGTAGTGATGCCCATAGCGGCTAGCCGTGCGAGCAATGCGATAGAGAGTCCAACAGTTGACGCGAGCGATGCACTTCTCGAAGCAGTGTATTACCTCTAGGGGCAGATAACATCCCATAGTCGTTTGGCACACCAGGGCGCTAAGTATTTCTACTGTGCGCAGCAGTTGCTCCGGCTGCTCCTCACTGTCAACCAGTTTGTTTAGCTTGTACAGAATAAGCGGCAGGCGGGCGAGCATTGGATTCGGCTGTAACTCGGAAATGCATTATTAGAATTATTAATTGAATATATGAAAGAGCATTACCTTAGGTGGTGCAGGTTCGTTTGTTTCCATGGCTGCGTCATCCTCCAGACCTTCCGCTGTGGAGAATGCATACTTCCGCAGCTGGAAGTGCTCACAGAGTCCCACAGCCGCTTCACAAATAAGCTGCAGATTATTGGGCGGATAATTCACATTGTCTCCTAGCGTATTGGTCACCATCTCGACAAAGTCAGCTCCGAACTCCGCATTGGCTTGGGTAATGCGTATGCCATACGTCAGCACTCGGCGCAGATCTCGATTAAACTCCGCACGACGGGCCGTACAGAAGAGTAGACCCTCCATATGCAGATTTACCATATCCAGGATGTCGTCAACCTGAGCCACCTGTTTCTTGAGACCGAAGGCCAGCAAAGCAGCCAGCACAGCCATTGCCTGCGTGGCTGTGGTATAATCATCCAATTTGCTGATACACTCATTGCAAAGCCTCAGCAAGGCGTCACGATGCTCACACAATAAATGCTGGCAGGTAAGCGGACACTCGCTTAGCTTAAGGAGTATTGAGAGGAAGAGAAACTGCTCCGCTCCATTTGTGCAGAGATTGAATTTGTTGATTAAAGCACCAATAGCTGGCTTGGGCCAGGCGTTGACGCTCTGCTTGTCGGCCAGTTCGTTAAAGGACCGAAGTACTTGGATTCGCACCGGCGTACGCAAATCCTGCATGAAATCGAGCAACACATTTAGCTGCCCTGGCACGCCCACCAGTGTTCGTGCCGACAATTGAGTGAGTGTGTCGATGATGGCCACCACAAAGCTTTGGGCGGGATACTTGGGCAACAGCTCTAGACACAGCTTGCTGACCAAGGCCGCTGTGTTGGCATCGTGGTGCATGTGGCGGAGCACCGGAATAAGTAGCAGCTTCATCGGCACCGGCACCTGCAATGACTCAATCATATCGGAGATCTTTGCGCACATGCTGATGGCAAAGGAGCTCGATTGGGCGGCGAAACAGCTGCTGGCATATATAGCGGCTTCCACTTCCACTGTATCGTGACTGTCGAGCGCTCGGCGTATCGCATGATGCACCTGTGGCTTCTCTGGTATTACACGGGACACGGCGCCAAGAGTGCGAAGGAGAAGGGCACGCGCCACTGGATCATTTGAGTGCATCACCATAAAAATACGCCGCACAAAATTATCAATGTTGAGAATCTTGTCCAGATGGTTCTCACTCTGCTGGCACACACGCAGCACCCAGAAGCGCAGAAGATTCGACCCGCTTACAAAGAACTCGGCCAATTTGATGAATGACGAGTTTATAAGAATCGGAAAGGGATACTTTTCAAATAGTCGAGGAAACCGCACGATCGCTTCACATTGTATGCCCTGCTTTGCGCTGCGCAGCCCCTTGTCCAGCTCCATGAGCACGGCATTCGAATCATGCTCATTGTCGTTGAGAAACGACTCGTTGAACATGCTCACACGTGTGCCCGTTAAATGTGCCATTTTCAACTATTTCTGTATGCACATTGACTTCACAAAGTATTGATTCACTAAATGAAAACAATAAACAAACCCACAATAGAAAACCGAATGCAGCTCACCGGTTTGCCATTCAACTGTAAACGTATCACTAACATGAGTACGAAATGATTAACATTATTAACATTAACATTATTCTGTTATCTTTAGACTTAATAGTCTTCCAAAGCTGTTTCTGTTAGCGGTCTTTGTGAAATTGTGTTGCCGATTTAAATTGTTAAAATTATGTTTGTCCTGACGAAAGTAGATAATGGTTTGTAGCCTATTAAAAATACGCTCATCGTTTATATATTGACATCAGATGTATTGCAGATATGGAAAAAATCCTTTTGATTCCATCCAAAGCGACATACACAATCGGTCGCTTGTCAACAGACGTGATTCTGAGTGAGGACCTTAGTATAAGTCGCACTCATGTAAAAATTTGTCCTTTAAATGACGGATCACTGACTGTTGAAGATCTGGGCTCCAGGTACGGTACATTCATCAACGATGACATTGAGCGTAGCAAAAAGATGAGTGCAAAGACGCCTACTCAACTTCATATTGGAGACAGGATTCGCTTTGGCGCTCTGAAGAACGTGTGGAAATTATCGCAGCTTAAATTGCTTACGACTGCATCCGCGCTGAACGCCTCTGAGATACACGAATTGAATAACCTCATAAAATCATTAAATGGCGCTATCGTGCCATCTTGGACAGATGAGTGCTCGCATTTAACCATGGATATGGTTACGATCACAGTAAAGCTGCTGCATGCACTACTAGACAATAAACCCATTGTACGAATTGATTTCTGGCGAGAGTTAGTGAAGTTAGCTAAGCGTGTTCATGTGCCCAATGGTTTGCCAAAGCCCGAAGATTATATGCCCAAACAGCCAGCAGATATGCCCAGCATCAAGTGGCGTCCTGAACGCACAAAACTCTTTGCTGGAAAAACATTTGTATTTATGAATCGAAAGCACCTCGACATGTACGGTACCGTCGTCCAGAAGGCAAGCGGCGCATGCAAAGATCTGAACTCTGGCGTTCGAAAGCCGTTTCTAACTAAACCAAATGTGATCGTCATACAATATGTGTCCTCTACTCAATCCCAAGCGACAGAAACTATATTCAGCGTACAAGGTAAGTTTATTTGACACATATAAATTCAAATGTATAATAATCTATTCTAAATTCCAGGTATTTTGGAACAGGCCGGACTCCGACCTGTACCCGATTATGAAATCGGCCTAGCCATTTTACACTGCTCCTTGGAAAAGTTTTGTAATCCGTCGTACAAAATAACTGAGAACTCATTGGCTACAACCGAATCTATGGATTCTTCGATCTTGGTTCCAAATACAGAACGCAGTCAAACACAACGAGCCGTAGACAAAGCATCCGAGTTCTTCGTCGCCGAATCCCAGAAGTCAGAAGTATATGCGCTAAGCACTGGAAGTGAGAAGCAGTTATCAGAGCCAAAGCCGGAACCTGTCAAGAAACCAACCAGGATGATGCCTAAGAAACGAAATAATGCCATCTATTTGGACTCCTCCTCGGATGAGGACGTTCAAGTCGAAGTGGTCGAGATGCCAAACAAGAAGGCTAAGACCGTAGTTGAGAATAAGTCGAAACGTAAAATTGAAAGCATTTTGGAGTCCTCTGAGGACGACCAATCGAAAAAGAAATCTAAATCTTCGTTGGAGCCTATCTTAAATAGTGATGTTCATTCCCCACCTGAAGACACCAATGAAAAGAATGCAACAGAGCCAGTTACAACTCAATCTAGACGTTCAACTCGTGCCCATCTGCAGCAGCAAATCGAAGCGGAGACAAAGAAACCGGAGACCTCGCCCCGAAGATCTACACGTGGCAAACCGACTGCAAAAAAGGCTACATTGCAAATAGTTCGGAGTGACAGTGAAGACGATGAGGAACTTTTCCAATTTAAATCCCAGGCCTCAGTACCCGTGGAACAGGCAGCAATCCAGTCGTCTGAGACCAGCATGGCGTCCGAAAGTACATTGGCGAAACAAGCTGCGCCCAGCCCAAAGATCAATAAAAAAGGTACGATTAGTGTGAGAAATTTTCTGGAAAAGTCACAGAGTCAGGCGTCAAGTCAAAACTTTGCTCCACCTGCATCGCAGAAACGCAAACGTCTGTGCTTGAAGCTAATAAACGAAAGTGACAGCGACGACGATGAAAACCTTTTTCAGTTTGGTGACGGCCGGAAGCGTAAGCAAACGCGCGTCGGATCAGACGATGAGTCTGACAATGAAAATATGTTTAATTTCCAAGGACGTGATCAGCAAGAACATAGCAAAACTGCAAGCGAACACGATGAGGACTCAGTTATCACAGAACCATTTATAAATGAATCAAAACCAAAATCCAAGTATATTGTGCGCAAGCCAAGCGAGCAGCCCCGTAAAGTAAATGTAAGCGGCTGGCTATCATGTAGCGGGCTACATGAGGATGTCAAGCCGGAAGTGAAACCAGATTTACAAATGGATGCAGAGGTTATAAAGCAAGAGCTGGACGACGAGGATGATAAGGAGAAGGTGGATCATGTTAAATGGCTAGCCAGCCTGAAGGATAGCATACAGGTGCGCTTGTGTAACATGAGCATCAGCGTCAGATCCGTAGATCAAACAGATGCAGCTAACACAACTGACAACAAATACAGCGGTCGCCAGAACTTTAAGAAATTTGTTAAGGTAAATAGAGTCAATCAATAAATAACTAATGACGGTTATTAACTAATTTTTCTCTATTTGCAGAAGAGCAATGTGCACTCGCAGCAGCATACTGTGGGACTCAAGCGAATGCAGCTGGCTGAGGGCATGGTTTCTTGTCTGTAAGTGCAAAATAACTTATTGTGCGTTTCTTCGTGTTATATTTTACTACCAATAAATTTTCGAAATATATTTAGAGCTTTGGCTTGATCCCTGGCCTGCAGCTTGCGCTCGAAGAGCGTTTTAGCAGCCAGCCATTCGTGATTTTGTATTGGTTTCGTTACACAGTTCTCGGGATTCTTTTTGCGTGCCTTGGATTCTCGCACAATGAAGTGCTTCACATCTTCCACGGTGGCCAATGAACTCAGCTGAAAAGCTTCCTTTGTCGGAGGTATTGCTGTTTCGCGTGATACAACAACGCCCACATCTGCCTTCAGCTGTTGCTTGGCCTTTTCCACTTTCGTAATTAGTGAAGGTGCCTGTATAAGGAGTTGGACACCAGCAGGGCTTGCTTCGTCGGGTGTAGCTGTCTGCATTTCTTTAACCACCTGCAGCTGTGTGGGCAATTTATAGTCTTCGGGAAGAAAATTATGTTTTTCTACTTGTGGAAATTTGGGACACTGTGGTTGCAGTTTGTTATACAATGTGGCACAATTGTTGGCTTGCACTAAGCTCAACTTATTTATCTTAGCTACAGCTGCAATTAACAAGGTCAGAAACTCCATGAAGAAGTTGCTGCGAATCATTTGCCCAAAGTATTTGATTGCTGCCTGACAGCAGTCACGAATGCGTTCATGCAAACTATAAAAGGCTAGCAACCGCGCCAAGACAAATTCCAAACTGTTTCGGGTAGGCATTTCGCCGGAAAGCTCCGCATCACAGGCATCCGGCAAGGCTCCGCGAAAATGTTCCAGATCCCGAGGTAGGTCAAGACGGAGCAGTCGGCAAAGCGCTCCATTTAATTTGCAGACAGCACGAAATCCTGGCATCCCGCGAAAGGAATTCTTACGACGTGCCATTAGACGACCTATCAGGGCTGCAGTGTTGTTGAACTCCACGAAATCTGGTCTGGATTGCTGTTGAAGGTAGCGATTGATAGCCATATAGACATTCTTTGCTGTGTGAAGATTGGTTCATTATATAAAGACTTTAACGCTTAACAAGTTCAGTATACCAGATCCTGTATCCTTAACTTGTAAGGTGACTAATGGAGGCTTTTTTAATTCAAATTCGTTCCAAAAATGTAAACTCGCCATGCTTTAACAAAATGTAAACAAGTCAATTATGTTGCCAATAGTGGTCGTTGAGGCTGCCAGATGGAAAAATTATTTTTTGGTATTTTTTATATATGAAATCAATCAACATTCTAAAAATAATAATAGTAACATTATTATTACTTTTAAGCTTGTAACATTTTAATTACAGATATCGCAGATAATTTCACAGGAGAGCTTATATAACAAAAATAGCATTAACAACACAAGTGCTTGCGGCTCCACTGTTAACGATTAGGCAGCACTAAAAACGCATAAAAGTCTGGCAGCTCTATCTTTACCATATGATTGCCTCCACCTGTCAGCTATCAGTTTCCTCGAGTATTTACCGTAGAGAGTTGTTGCGTGTACCCCATAAATTTTCAGTTAATTCCTGTTATTATTTAATAAAGCCGCCTATATTGTCCTACAAAAGGGCGTGGTTGCCTGGTGTTAACTGATTAGATAAAAGTTGCAAGCATACAACAAAATGCTAGTCATCAACACAATCAGAAATGCAGCGAAATTGTCGCTGCGTAACGCTTACATACGAAATTGCTTGAGCAACGAAATTCGAGCAGCAACAAATTTCACGCGCACTTTCTCGCTGGGTCTGGCGCTGCGGCAACAAGATGTGTAAGTGGCATCTAATAAATAAACACGCCCAATGGAAAACTAAAAAACTCTCTTTCTCTCTCTCTCTCTGTGTCTCTGATATAGTGTGAATGTGACCTTCGTAAGAGCAAACGGCGAGAAAATAAAGAGTTCAGGCAAGGTGGGAGACTCGCTGCTGGACGTCGTTGTTAACAACAACGTAGATCTGGACGGCTTTGGTGCCTGCGAGGGCACACTGACCTGTTCCACATGCCATTTAATATTCAAAGAGGCGGACTATGAAAAACTGCCGGAAAAGCCAGGAGATGAGGAATTGGACATGCTGGATTTGGCATACGACCTAACGGACACCTCCCGATTGGGTTGCCAAATTACACTGACCAAGGACATGGACGGATTGGAAGTTCAGGTTCCCGCCACAATAAACGACGCACGCGCAGCGTAAATGTGTTCCACTGATCAAGTTTGTTAGATTTTTTGAGTGCTATTCGCTATAGTTAACATATTTCATAGTCCATTATTCAACCCAAATTGTTGTACAAACAAACAAAGGCTCAGGCGGTTTTTATTAAGAGTGACTTTTTGCATAAATGAATTTTAATTGTATGCTATTGATTGGCAATTTGTAAAACGAGAGAATTGTAAATATTTATGTGTTTTGTAAATAAATAAGTAGAGTACATTTGAAATTTTCATAAAATATGCCCAAACTTCGCTATGTATGCGTCTGTACATGTACATATGGAAATTCAGCATTCTTATGAATTCAGGATTGTCACACATACATACATATATTCAGCAGATCCCAACAAGAGTAAGAATAGACACGTTTTTGTTTTAATAAAAGTAAACTTTTTATTATTTCGCAGCTATCAGATAAAGTAATAAATAAATAATTTAATATATACATCTGCTATATTAACTTATTGTTAACGATTTTCAGCTTTGATTTTTTATTTTCTTTCGTTTTTTATCCGCTGTGCCATTTTAACTCGTAATTTAGATAGTTCTTTTTTTTTTGCTTTTTTTGTTTTGTTTTTTAAATTATTTATGTATAACTGAAACTTAACAAATCTGACAATGAGCAAAATTACGTCACAATTTTCGTTTATTTCGATTCGTTTCGATCGTTCAAGAACTAAAGAATTATGCAGATAAGGCGAATCGTTGCCATACGAAAATACAATTCAATAAATAGCCAAAAAACAAATTAAAATAATAATAATAAATAGTTAAAGAAATGTTGCAGAGCATGAGACAGAATAAATAAGTTAGAAATTAGAAGTGTGAAATGAATAGAGGTGCACATAAAACTGATTTGGTTTTCAATTCACGCCGTGCTAATGATGGTGCCATGGATACCTAGTGTGTATGCGTGTGTGTGTGGTGTGGTGTGGTGTGTGTCGTGTGTGTTTGTTGTGCCTTCTACTTAGTTGACATAGGCCATGCCCGCGCCCTTGCGATCGAAATGGCGCACGCGCACAAAGAGGAAGGCGGCGACTAGAGAGGCCACAGCCAGGACGAGCAACAGCATCACCAAGCCACCGACAAAGCTGGGCACAGACATGCAAATGGTCTCGGCATCGGCTGAGCGCGCCGATTGGATCACCACCGTCTCGTTGCTGGCATTGCTGTTGAGCGCAAAGTTGACATCGCCAGGTGCCACCACCTGAATGATGCGACTCGTGTTCACGTCGGTCATCTCCTGTGCGTTACGTTTGTAGATTCTTGGCTTGACCACAATCTCCATTGTGTCGCGACGCCGGCGCACTCCGCGCAGATCATCCAGACCCTCAACGGAGCGTGGACGGCCACCCAGGGAAACGAGATTGCCACCGCTCAGCTCATCCTTGCGCTTCACGGTGCTGTATTGGCCAGGCTGGCCAGGCAGTGGTGGCGGTGGAAGACCCAGTTCGTTGCTGCCCTGCTGTGGCTGCGCCTGTGGCGCCTGCGAGCTGGCTGGGCCGCTGCCTGCATTGTTGCCCGCCGACTCGGCTGTGGTCACCGCTGAGGTCTGGGCCTGGGGTGAGGGCACAACGTCGGGTTGATTCTCAGAGTAGGCGCCGCTGGCATCGGCAGGATGGCGTGGATCGGGATAAGCTGCTGGAGGCAGACCACCCAAGGCAAAGTCATTGCGTTCGTAGGCCTCTGGTGGACCGTACTCCTCGGAGAGCGCATTGCCGCCGATCTGTGGCAGTCCATACTCGCCACCAGGCAGACCGGGTCCGCACTTGGGCTCGGGGCAGTTGTAGCGGCAGACCTGAATGACGCACTGGAAGTGCACGTTCATCGAGTCGGGGAACTTGAAGGCCTGGAAGTAGGCAAAGCTGACCACAGATGCGGAGGGACCAAAGTTCTTAATCTTCTGGAACTTGCTCATGATTTTGGGCCGGACAACACAGCCATTTTGATCCACCAGCTGAATGGGAGCACGCTTGCCGTCATGAGCGACACAGTTGCGCACGAGCATATCGAACTTGTTCTCGTCATCCTTAATGGCCAGCACCATGGTCATTGTTTGTCCGATCTTCACAATGCCCGACACTTCGGAAGCCCAGGGTCCCTTGCCCACCTGAATCTGCATCCAGCACTGAAGATTATCGCCCAGGAAGTTAGCTGTGACGGCGTGCAGCATGTCCACCTGGAAGGGGCGGAAGGTGACTGCCTTCTCGTAGAAGTCGTACCAGGTGCAGCGCAGCTTGCGTGCCTGATCCCAAACCTCCTGCACATAGGGATCGTACTGAATAATAATGGTGTTCTCCACATAGCTGCCCGATGGAGTAGGTGCACCATAGCCAGCCGCATTGTGATTCGCCGAGCTGCTCATGCCGCAGCTATTTAGGAAGATCTCAAAAGTGGCGCTCAGATGACCCGTGCCCGGCTGCATGTGCACGCAGTGGGACTCGCTGTAGAAGCCCTTCGAGAAGATCATGCCATAGAAGGGCCGGTCGAACTCAATGTTCACGCGCATGTGTGTCTTCTCGCACTGCACCTGCAGATGCTTGATCTGCGGGCTGTCATTGGTGCTGGCCAGCGGCCAGGCCTCCTCGGACAGATCGTTGCTGGGGCCAGCGCCAGCGGTGCTCAGGGGTCCCTGTGGTGCGCCGTAAATGGGTGCAGGCGCTGGCGGTCCATAGCCAGCTCTGTGTTCCAATGGCAGCGCGGCTGATTCAATGTGTGATGCATCGCCATGCACGGAGAGATGCTGCATTGGGAGAGCAGAGAAGGAAAATCAATAATATTTGCGAAGTATGTAAATCTTGGCAAGGTAAGCCTAGCTATACATTGAACCCATTCCCAGTAAACCCATAGCTAAGATTGCTCTACTTTCTTATCGAGTCCCCATAACGAATTGCTTTCGTTTCCAGATATTTCAGCAGAAATTTATTTCATTGTATTGCAAAAGATCTGAAAACTCTGTCAGCGGAAAAGCTGATGCGCATGCTTGGCTGCCCATTTTGTCATTTAATTTGCGACGCCTTATGCAATTCGAATCGAAATCCAAAGTACAAGCGACAAGCTCGCCTTTTTCGAAAGAAGCGTGCCAGAGCGTTGAAAATTGCGGCGCAGTTTATTTATTTATGTTGAAATTGAATGGCCGAGTGGAGCGAGGCACGTTTACCTAAGCCGAAAGCAGGGCCTATTGCATAAGCATAAGCCATGACAGCCATGTTACTCCCTTACACTGTCGCCTCTCTCCCTCCTCCTTCCTCTCTCACTCTTCGGCTTGGTAACTCGATTGCGTCGCTTTCTTTTCACTGTATCTTTTTCATTCCCGTTTCACATTTGGCTCATAATTTTATAGCTGTTTTTTCTTCTTTCTTCTTCTTCTTCTTTCTTTCTTCTGGCTATGCCCGGAAAGCGGATGTAACGCTGTGTCTCTGGCTCAGCCCAACGAAAATCGAAAGTTCAAGACGATGACGCTGTTGATTTTTTTTCTTCTCGTTTTTGGATATCTTTTGTCGTCCGAGATGTCGTGAGTTGGTTTTGAAAGTGAAATGACCACGAACAGCAAGCAAGCAAATGAAAACCAGATAAAAGATGCGTTATATATCAAAATAGAGTTAAACTTGAGCATCTCTTCTTATACGTAGCTGACTGCACGTAAATCCATTCTAATATCGTCTCAATACGAATCTGTTGGCTGCAGTTTTTCCCCCTATTCTGTTTGAAGCGTTTCACTCGCAGCTGAAGAAATCTGGCGTTAAATGAATAATATAGCAATCTTAATGTATTAATGCGCTATAAACAAGAAAGTCAAAACTGGTACAAATCAGAGCATAACTGCAATTTCGCTGCCCCAATACAGATACAGACACGCAGCGCCAACTGCTGTCCAGTTAGTTGCAGTTGCACTTGGAGCTAGAGCTGGAGCTGGAGTTTTCCGTGACTCGCGATTGTATCTGCGAGATACTTGCTCTGCATAAGTCTCTCTCTGTCTCTCTTTCTCTTTCTCTCTGTTTCTTTCATTCTCTGTGTGCATGTGATTGATGCAGCTTAAATGGCTGCATAAATAAGCAATTTGCATTGATTTACATGTTCGCATATGTGTGGCTAAATACGTTTTCATATAAGTCTTCTATTTCAAAGGAAAGCGCGTCCAACTTGGAAAAAAAACATAGCCTCAAATCCTATGGCCATTCGTAATTCTGATTAATTAACGTTAAAGCTAAATCTTAAGCGCTCAACAACGTCACTGTTAAGCTAAGCTCTCTCTTATTGTCGTCATTCGTTATTTTGATTGATTGCCGTTGCGCTGGCTAACATTATTCACGCTGTTAAACGCTTAACAGCGCCAGTGTTAAGCTACGCTCTCTCTGTTATGCTCATTCCTCATTTTGATTGATTGCCGTTTAAAATATTGTCTGACTAACATATTGCTGTTAAATATTTAACAGCGCCACTGCTATGACCCTTTGTACTTTTGATTGATTGGTGTTAACATTTGCACGCTGTTAAATGGCCAATTACACCACTGTTAAGCTAAGCTCTCATTCTCTCTCCCCATCTTTTCTATGCTCGTCATTTGTTATTTTGATTGATTACCATTTGCCTGCTTCACATTCTTGAAAGCTATCGTTAGCAACTGTTAGCAGCTCTGCTGCTCAGCTAAGCTCTCGCTATCTCGCTCTCGCTCACTAACTCGGTTTTCTTCTTGGCGCTGCTTGGAATTGCATTGATCAACAGCACACAAAGTGCCGTTCAGTGCGAATGCAGCGCACTTGCTGTTGTTCTTTGCGCTTTGCCGTGCTTCGTTCGCTCCTTGCCTCTGCATCCGCCTCTGCTTGCGCATCGATCTCTATTATACCGCTAGCAGTACAGCTCATCTGAGCGTTTTTCTTTTAGGTTTCGATCAACCCATCAATATGCCACACAATGGACACTCGCACTGATTTGCATTCGAATTGAATTGGATATTGATAAACGGTAGTCCGTCGCGTCGAAAGTGAGCAGATCCGCTACACAGCTTGGTTTGCATATGTATGAAAGACGCCGCACGCTCTATCGCTCTCTCGCTCTGTCACTTGCGCGCTCGCTTGCTGTCAGCTTGGAAGTGGGCCACTCTAACTGTATAGCGTTTGGTGTTTCCTAATTGAATTGGAATCATATTGATTGGGCTATCGGACAGAGATCTGCTTTTTTTTTCTCAACTTGTCGTTTGTAAGACTCATCTTTTTACACTTTCTTCCCAGACAGCTGTTTGGCACTTACCTCTGTGTTGAATGCCAGGCACAAGACTAAGGCCAAGAGGCAACTGTGTCGCGTATAGTGTCCCATTTTTATTGGTGCTATATAAATCCGCTCGACTATATAGCCTGCAAGTATGTATATATCTCTGTGTGCCGAATATCTGGTCTTTCTATCAGTTAAGATCAAAACTGTTTGTTTTGAATCTTTGCTGCTGCGGCTGCTGCTGAAGCTGCGGCTGCTGTTCGTCTCTTTGCGTTTCTCACTGCTTTCTTCTCGGGTTTGTTGATCTTTTGGTGTCTCTTTCTGTAAGTAGCAGAATAGAAAGGGGAACAAGGGTAAACAATGCAGCCAAACAGTTCAACTTTTGCATGAGCTAAATGGAATAGCGACTCTGTTAACAGTCACATTCGATCTGTGCATTTAACATTAACATTCACAGAATATATGCACAGCATATTATACAGGGTGTTGCATATTCTCGGTGACCTTGTCTAATTTTTACTTTAGTCATCATCCATAACATAAAAAACAATGTATGCATATTTATAAATATAGAATTAAAATTGGATTTATTTATTTTATTTATCGCATATTATCCATTGCATCCATAGTAAATTTACACACTAAACACAAAGTTTTTGAAACCACTTTTGCTTTAATATATTTTTAATATATGAAATATTTTTATTAAGTTTTAAATTAAATAATTTTTTAACACTATATTTCGTGTTTATTTAGACATTAGAGCCGCAACAAGCCATAATTAATGACAGCCGCTTAATGGCTTGATGCTCATAACTTGAACAGCACTTAAATGGCACTATACATATATATAATAAAATCACACAGATATACACACTCACACTCACACACACAGACACACTCTCGCGCGATCATTTAGTGCCGCCGAAACTGCATTTTATGTAAAGCAAATGAAAACTCGCGGGCAACAAACAGGAACCACTTTCTATTTTCACTATAACAGTACAACGAGGAGCTGCAGCAGCAACAACAACTACGACTACGACAACGAGCCTCAACGCCAACGCAGTTGCAAGTTTTCTTCACAGTGGTTGGCCCCACTTGATGGGCCCCATTAATTTGTATTTGTTTTTGTATTTGATTTTGTATTTGAATTCGTATTTATAGTTGTATTTGTGTTGTATTTTTATTCCGTGTTGCTTACTTTACAGTTTGGCCTAGCATAGCATTAACATTATGTTAACATTCGCTAAACATTTCACGTGCCGCGCGCTTGCTTCGAATTCGAATTCGACTTCGACTTTGGAATTGATCTTGAGAGTTGAAGACGTTACCGCTGCGCCTGCGTCTGCGTCTGCTTGCCGATTGAGACTGAGCGACGGAGCTCAGCGCCGACTGACGATCGCATCTGAGGCGCAGCTTTCACACAGCTCCAACTGAAGCTGGCTGACTGCTGCCTGCTGCCGAGCCGAGCTCAGGTTGCCGCGCCGGCTGCCGCACGATGCTCGGAGCGTGGCCGAGTGAGGGGCGGAGCATAAAAAAATATATATGAAAAGAAGTAAGCGGCGACTGCGGCGTCTGCGTCGCATTTCACTTGACTGAGTGTTGAGTTTTTTTTTTTTCATTTTTGGGCTGCCTGGGTGAATGTTGTAGCGGGCAGTTTTACTTTTACAGATGGCAACAACAACAACAACAACAACTACAGCAGCAGCAGCAGCAGCCCATCATATTGCACCGTGTACAAGAGCAAGAGCAAGAGCACACCCCATGTAAATGGAGTTTTAACAAGCCTTGGCCATAAATCGACGCGCCAGCTAAAAATAAAAACCGGCTTGTCAGTCACTCAGTCAGCCAGCCAGCCAGTCAGCTAGCCAGTTGGCCAGATAGCCAGTCGGCAAGCTGCCATTGAGCAAGTGTACTATTAACCCACTGAGACAGTAACGGACGCTGCGTCGCTGCTTAGCTGTTGGCAGCGCTGTCAACGCCGCTTGACCCTAGCCAAACAAACGCCGAGTTAGCTCGTTACGCAATGCTCCCAAAAGAACTTTAATGAATGGGGCTGACCACAGTGAGTGTGTGTGTGTGCGTGTGTGTGTGTGTGGGCTGCTCAGTTTAACGGTGCTTTGTACAGCTGCTACTGCTTCACTTTCTTCCTATTCGACTATTTTCACCTGAGCAAAAAAAAAAAAAAAACAAACAAAAAATTAGCTGTCTCCCCATTTGCATACGAAAGACTTAAGACACAAATTTGGCAATTAACAAGCAGCGAAATTTTTGGCTTTTTCTTCATCTCTATTTTTTTATACCCTGAACCCATTGAAAATGGGAAATCAGGGTATAATGGTT